CGCTTTGATATAGATATCTTACTCGTCTTTTCAACTAGAAATAAAACTTCTTTAGGATTCAAGGGCTACAATAATTATGACTTGGTACAACAGAAAATGATGATACACCAACAGATCAAGAAAGGATGGAGCTCGATTCATTGTAACAGCAAAACGTGATTTGATTTTGTTCTTCCTGGTTACTGATAAAATGTCTCTGTATAATTCGCCCTCTATTGTTGAAAGTAGAGCTCAGCAGTTCCAAAAAGAACTGGGAACCGGAACCGTGGCTCCAGCTAGTAACACTAAAAAAAACGGCTCTAATTTCGATTCCTAAAAATTGGAAACGAATCCATTCATCTAATATTGAACACGACGCAACTAATTTTAATTTTTTCTGAAATTCCGATGTTTTTTTTTCGAAATTATTAATATTCTTCATTTACAAAAAGTACTTTATTGAAATTGTAGATGAAAGGAAAAAGAGAGATGATATTAATATGAAGTAATTATATGAAACTTCTTATTGTATAAAAGAGTAGAAAAAAATGAATATCATAGTTTTCGAATGCTATGTTGTTTGTCGAACGACACTTTAGTCGACAGACTTTTCGTCGAAGTAAATTTGTCGACAAATTTTTGTCGAAATTTGTTTGCAGAAAAGCATTTTGTCGACACGATACTTCGTCGATACAGCATATCAAAGAAAAGGGGGTAGGTGTGAATGTGGGTGGGGTATGGGTATGGGTGTGGGCGGGAATGCATTTCTACCGACACTCACACTCACACCCACACCCATGTTTTCTTCTGTATCATACTACTCTAGTGCGTAATATGTCTTTCGAACAAAACTAGTGGTTATCCGAAAAAAACAATGATCAATTATTCAAAATATCAACCATATTCACCACATATATATCTCTATTCGGAATCTAACTTACTTTCAAATTTATATTTTGCAATTAAAGTGAATAGGGCATAATGTCAGAGTCCATTGCTGGTCTTTTGCATTAGATGACAAAGTTTTCAAAGAGCCCATCTCAATTGTCTTTTCTCTTAGTGACACCTGATGTCCAATGATCGAGAAATAGGAATTTCTTCTTAATTTCTGAGCAGTTCTATGATGAGCAAAATCAAAATAAAATATTATTCAGGATATTTTGCGCTCGCATAAGCATATCAATGAAATATGCGACGAAACTGATAGTCAATTTTGTGTTGTTAGACAAACTATCGTAAGTCTGCTGATAATTCTTCGACAATTTAGAAAATTCAAATTTTTCTGTTCTTATACATCCATCTGAAAAAAATTCAAATGAAGAGGCGCAATAAAAAACTAATTCGTCAAAATGGTGTTCTTACGTAATATCTTCATCTTACTTACACAAGATGCTGTTCTGACATACCTTGCGACACGAATTTGCCTGATAAGAAACGAAAAAAAACGACGCTGCGAGTAGGATTTGAACCTACGCGGGAAGATCCCATCAGATTTCAAGTCTGACGCCTTAACCGCTCGGCCATCGCAGCCTACTTTGGATTGAAAATCTGAGTTAACGGAGGTGGTTTTTACTTCTTCTCTTTATCCACATTGAATCTTCATCGCACTGTGACAAGATCAAAATCTTATCCAATATCATAGTCATACACGTTCAAAAATCGAATTGAAGTTCTTGAAGAAGTGATAAGCACATATTTATCTAGTTGAATCCACTTCAACCAATCAATCGTTGTGGATGGAATTGACCTGTAATAAATCAAGAAAGTTCTGTTAGATCATAGTGAACCTTTAAGTTGAAGCTTCGATAACTTATATTTTGATTTATCATCTGAAAGCTGCTACTCTATGTGTGAGTTCAAAAGAATATCTCAGTTTCAAAAGCGAACACAAACATAGCCAGTCTATTGAAAATTTCACGAGCATTAGGTACGATGTCCGATAACATATTGTATGCAGTGACACAAATATCTTAAATTTACTAGAAATAAATCCAAGAAAATCATCTAATCTAAAGAATTGCTGTTGTTAACATATTTGCTATTTTTTTCGTATAAAAGTTCATTATACACTAACAAAAATAAAAATCCGTTACTTTGGTTGATTCTATGTCGTTGCTAATATTTTATAATCTCATGTTGTGATTTTGAAATAAATTTCAGTTCGTATGAAGGACTTCTATTGTTTTTTACATTTGACGAAATTTCGCAAATCATTTTGAATCGTGAAAAGTTGGAAACTCATAGTTTCGTTGTTCTGTAACGTCGCATATGAATGTTTTTGGGTAATTGATAATTCATCATTTTCAACATAGTATTTCGTTTTTACAGATTTTCACTTGATTTTAAAAAACGTCTAGTCCTTTGGAATATATGCGTAAACAATTTCACATTGAATTAAGAAGTCTACATACAGAAAATTTATCAAAAACATGCATAGAAATGTTGTCATATTAATAATCGACTACGATTTGTAAATCTTAGATTTTTAACTTTATCCTTAAAAGAATAATTAATTGCAGACAAAATCGTGACATTGATTTCGAAGTCATCAACTGTTATCTATAGATTTGTGATCGAATATCATCCATTCTTTTCTCCGTGTGATGTTCTACTACTGAATGTTTAAAGATTGATCATTGAGTTAATTCTATAATTACAGAACAATAGTGTTGAAACAAAAAAGATGCGCAAAGGGACTTCTTCAGAAAGAAACTAAGATCGGTTTATATTTGAGACATGCATCCTTATTTCAATAATAATTGAGGAGTCGCTACTACGAAGATCAAAAAAAATGTTCTTATGCTCTGATCTCAAAACTATCACATTGAGATAGAAAAGAAGTTCGATGAATTGACTTTATCGAAAACTGAAAAACAACAAAACCATGCGAAATGTGTTCCGAAGTTGACTGCAACATAAAAATAGTCAAATGTATAACTACAATAGCAAACTCATTCTTCCATAAATCGATAGTTTTATCCAGTATCGCGATAGAACGGAAAAAAGGTTCTATCTACAAAAAGAATCTATGTACGACTTGTCGGTGTGTCAACATATGGTTTGGGATTGCCCTCTGTGTCGGATTTTTTTGAACTTTATAAGATGGTGCACTTGTAATTTGCTTGGAAAAGCAACTGATCACATATTTTTTTATCATACTTTGTCATCTTTAGCGATATTACTTCTGATCTAGTTGTTATCCATTTACGCTAAGCCTTCGTATTGAAAAGCATGATTGCAGACAAAAACATATATATTTCATTGTTCAAGGTTAAATTAATAAAACGACACTGAGAGTTTAGATTTAAAACAGCATCATCTGTCTCCGTCTATACTGCACATTTGAGATACAAATAATGAGTCATCACTTCCTCATAATAGTATTTGCAATCGATCAATGATAGTATACGGATCATAGCATTGTAAATAGTCGTGTGTGTTGGTAGAGTGTGGATATGCTTATATATAGATCTACTCTACACATCACATCCACTTCCTACACCTACCAAAACATGCCTGATGGATGTTTTGTTGACATTATAACTGGTGAATCGTCATTCGACAGGTGCATGCATGATATTGGAAGAAACCAAGAAAAATAAGTTGAGAACGAGCACAAGTCGATTCGATTTTACTGCTTCGAAAATTTCAACTTAACTGTCGGATTCATCGTTTTCTTCTCATAAATATATATATATAGGGTGTGGGTGAGGGTTTGCGGATTGTATCACCTGTCACACCCACACCCACACCCAGCATCGAGAATTTTACGGATTTTAGATAATCCTACAAATGATAATACACAGAAAATAAAAGCGATTGCTCATACATTCATGTTATAATTGTTCATTGATTAGTTTTGATTTTTTTTGTTATTTTGTCTACTTTGTTTTGTTCATTATCATTCACTTTTTTGACTAAAATATTTATTTATACATAACACACATTCATTTTGCACACAAATGTCTGTCCGCACAATTGTCTTGCACACAATCGTCGTGCTCCCTTTCAAATTCACTCAAATTCCTCATATTTTAACAATAGGGTATCCATTTTTGTTGGGTATCCGCTTCACTGGATATCTTGACCAGTAACTCGCCTGTAACCAGCTTATGGATATTATGACATCTCTGACAGACAGTCAAAGTACTCGATCTTATTTTGAATTATATCACTGACAAAGGCAAAAACAATATCGATGATGTATTACGAAGCAATAAGGTGATTCTTTTCTTTACTTCTTTATCTATTGCATATTCATCTTTCAAACATGTAGACACTAATGATATTGGATATAGGCAGAAATAAAGTCAGCTGGCTTCGAAGACATGCCTTATGGAAAGATAGCCGAATCTATACTTAAATGCATTGTTGCTTCGACATTTTGTGATATTTTATGTTAGTTTTTACGTTTTTTCATCATTTATTCTACGTAAATAAATTTTCCCTTATAATTTTAATTTCACGTGTTGCAGAAAAAAAACAATGAGTACATGAGTGACTTTAAAAAGCGGTAAATAAGGAGATTGTTGGAAAGACTTCACCCTTTTCCTCCCTTACGAAAAAAAACATCTGGCAAGGTATGACTACATAAGTTTTGCCTGACAGAAAATTTTCTTTGACACTGTTCAGCCCTACCCTTGGAAAACTCCTGACTACGAGCCTACGAGGACGTGGATGCTGTCATTCTTCAGGTACACCCACGACTATAGACTCAGACAGAGCTCGATGTCAGTTCCATCATTATTCTTCAGTCTGTTCTGCCTCATGCTATTTTCACATTCAGTTTAGCTTGTACACAATTTTTCGACTAATAGCATTACTTGACGTTAATCGATCAGTGTATACTGTATGAAAAGAGAAGAAAAACTCATTCATGTTAGATTTTACGAGATATTTCTGAATTAAAAATTAATATTACTGTTTAGAAAAACAGTGATAATAAGTCAATACCAAAATCATATTGACTATTGCATAATAAGTCGATGCTTTTATGGAAATAGGCGTTTTGCTTTCACATGTCAAATTTCGTCACAGGATGACGATAAATTGCAAATACCAGCTGATTGAGCAATCTGTTCGGCATTTTGATAAGTATTAATATTGAATCGACCAACTGTGAATCCAATCTAGTATTAAAACAGATCAATTTAAAATGTCGTAGTAAAAGTTTGCTCCCTATCTATCTGAAAGTTGAAATTTGTACAAAACACTGTTTAAGTATTATTTATTAGAGAGAAATTTCTTTGCTTTTCATATATTAAGTTCTGAACATGATTATTGAAGTTATTGTATTCATAAACGAAGATATTTTATTTATGAAAATCATTAAAAAAAATGAAAGACAAAGTACACTATCTGATAATAAATTTATGTTTGAATTATTGCAGGTCAAAGCAATGTATTATCCTAGACAATTTATTGAGTTCCAGGTACTTATGTACTGGGTAGATTTCAATAGAGTAACCGTAAAATTCGACAGAATCTTGTTCGAATATCGTACTGACAAGACACTCGGTATTATAAGGTGCTAAAGTACTGAAAGAATTTCTGTTAAGCAGTGGTAGCATGGTTTTCTTTCAGATACGTTGAATTAAGCATATACACTTGAGTATACTTTCGAATATAAATATACTTACATCACGTGTTACAATCGTTGTAAAATTTACTTTAACATAATAGACAGTTAATGTTTCATGTGTTGCTGTTTTTATCAACGAGGGCTTTATTCCTATACAAGCAAATACATTTATTATAGTAGTAGTCAATTGTTTTTTACCATTCTCTTCACAATCGATCCAACCAACACCTTGTCCTTGATCTGAAATAGTACATATTGCATTATTTGATGTTTCGTCAAAGAGAATCAGTGTTAACTAATGTAGAAGAAATTATTACTTAACACAACTATAAGTAATTACATACTTCATCAATTACTGAACCAGCCGAACGAATTGTAAATCGAACATATTTGTTTTTAACTAATTCGAAGTTTCCTGGAGTTGCTAAACAACTTTGAACAGGTGGCGAAGCTTGACGTGTTGGATGCCATGTTTGAATATACATATCCTGATATACAGCACATTTCCAGAGATGAAAAAAAATAGATGTCGTGGTTGTTGCTTCAAATGGTAAATAATAAAATTCAATTGATATCATTACACAGTAGAACTTCACGTGAAATGGGATGAACTGTTCTAGTCTGCCTCGGAAGACGAAAAGCTTCTGCATAATTTTTTGCTTCATGCGCGATGAGACTATCCTATTCCATATCAAGTTCGCTGACAGACTTTCCTCAAGTGTCACTATGAAGACATTCAATTGGAGACATAATTATTTTTAGAATTTATTAAACGGGCGATACGCATAGATACAGTTTAATGTGACAGATGAGAACAAATATGTTCCTAGTTGGTGTGATCTTCTCTATTAAGGTTTATGAAACTCGTGTCTTTATCTGCAATGTAAATATTCAAGACATTGATTTCAATAGTGTTAACAATAAGATTGCATGGTGTGTCTTTATTAATAGTAGAGTCAGTTTTTAAGGATCTACGATTGTATTTCAATTTATTTGTTTCGCTAATAAAAGTTTCGTAGCCTTTTAAGATTTCATTTGTGTTCATAATGAACTCATGACATCTATTACTATGAAGATAAAGTAGATCTCAAAATATTCTATTCGTTTATACATTGAATAGATAAATGCTTGCAGTGAAAAATAGTATTTTTGATTTTTATGATCATTCTATAGAGTTTTTCTAAAAGAAAGTTAAAACATATAAAAATGCAACTATTTAAAATTAGTTGGACGCTGGATTTTAAAACTTTTAAATTTTTAAAAACAACAAGTATTAGGGAGTTCACTAAGAACATAAACAGTACATAGAAGAGTGATGATCAGTGAAGTGATTGAAAAGTCATTCAATTTGGGCATAACTGTTGCTTAGGAATTAGGATAGGAGCAAGCGATACATTAACTTAAGGTGAAACAGGATTTTAAATATATCTTTTAAAATTTTGCTACACTTTCTTTGTGGAAAAGTGAACATTTTCCATAAAAGGATTTAATAGTACTCTTCTATCTATCAAAACAAGAAATATATTCACAACATATCATCTCATATTAAAAAGGAAATAGTTGATGCTTGGCATCGAAATCATATGAAATCACTGAAAATCTCTTAGAGCCAGTATTAACTAAGGAAACTAGTCAGAGGCATTGAATTTATTTCAGCATACACGTTTTCGAGAAAAAGATGCTCATCCGTAGAGCATCATTGTTTTTTATGACTGGAAACGCGATTTTAAAAAAAATCGGCGCATGCTCTGGTGATGGCCAAACATTCTTTCTTTTGCTTACAGACGCAGTTCGATCTTTATTCAATTATTCATTTTTTATCTATGAATTTCGAACACAATAGAATCAGTTGGAAGCCTCTGAAGTCGAATATAGCAAGGAAGAAGGGTGTTTCAATAAGTGACGAGAATATATATTTACTCCTACATAAAAAAATTCATATCCACACCCCATCCCCAAATTATACTACCATATCTAATTATGATATTGTTTCATCAAGAAATAATTAAGGTCAGACTAGATTGTATGCGGTAAAGTTTCGAAAACAATTCATAATCTACTCAAGAAAAGATAACTTGTGAAGTGTGAGTTATGTTTGACATCCAATGACATTGTTTGAATGTAACAGTCTTCTTTTTTCAGAGAAATAAAAAAAAATGTTTAATAGCTGATCAGCAAGTGAAAAATGGAATATAGTCCAATAATCTTTTAAATATGCGAATGGAATTCAAAGAATTCAATAACCGTATAAACGAATTTCTAATAATTAAATGAAACAAAAAATTACAAAATGAAATATATGAATTCTTCTATCTATTAATTTCAGATCCTCAAACTATAAAGTTTTTTCACTTCACAGACTTATATGCAAAACAAAAATTAGCATTTGCATTCAGATTTAAATCTCGGTGCAACAACGTAACTTTCTTGTTTACCTAATTTCGTCGTAGTTGTCATTGTCGTGGTGGTAGTCATAGGTGTCATGCTTGGTGGCATTGAAGGACTACATCGTGCCTGGAAGGAAGAAATAGTAATTATGATTTTTAAAAAATGATCTGATCTTTACTATGTCTATTTGACTGAACATATTCCGAACTTTGCTTTTGGCTTCTTCTGTGGCTGTGTGGAAAGCAACAAGAGCGTCTTGTGCAGTGGTTAGTATTTGTGTACGGGTTAAGTCAATTGATTTCAGGTCCCAAGTTAACTCTTTCATCATCAAGACATCGAGAGCGCTTCGTGCTACCTGTTAATAGATATGATGCATTTCAAGCGTATCTTTCATGTTACCCACCTCTATTTCTTTATTTAAAGCTAAATCTTCTGCACATTTATTCGTGACATATTTTATTGTCGCATTCATACTGGCATCTTGTGCAGATGGTATTCGATGAATTTTACCTAAATATGTGTCAATATATGTTTTACAGATGGCTTGAGCTTCATCATCAGTAATCGTTTGGTTTTGTGGATCAATATGCTCTCCATTATATCCTAAACTCATTGTGTGAGCCGTCACTTGACAACTTGGATCACTCTTCGTACAAATACCAGTCGATATGTCAGCCAAATATTTTGGTTGCCATATATATATATTCAAATAACCGCCTTTGTCACAAGATTTGATCTAAGAATGAAAGTGAGTTATCAAGAAAGAGATAAACACAAACATGGTATAATTGTCAGGTCACTTTAATCAATTAAACTACAGATGTCAGGAGGGAAAAATAAGAAAGCTATACTAAATAGTAAATGTGTCAAGATAAAACTGCAGTATTAATAAAGGGATTACGAATGAGTATGTGTGTTCTAAATATTTATAATTTATGCAATTTAGACTAATTTTACCTAATATAACATCAACATTTTTCTAAAAGAAACTTTGATATTGTATTCACTCAAGAACCTAGTATCATCTGCTTTTTACGATTCTATACTCTTATGATGTTGTAATTCACAAAAGAGTTGCAAAATAAGAAGTTTAAAATATCGATATTTGTCTAACATTAGAAGAAAGTGGGGTGTGGATGTAGGTGTGGGTGAGAAAAGATTGCACACGCACACCCTCAAGATATTTAAGATCAGCTAATCGTATCACCACGCTTAAAAATAAATATATCTAATCGGTGTCATACATTCAGCTGTTATTATAGCTATTTCTCCGATAAAAGACGTTGACAGAAAGAGAATTTTAATTCTGGCACATTCAATAGTCAAGTTAAAATACAAAAACTTGATAACATAAATTTTAAATACCATTTTCCTTATGCTTGTCACAAAATTGGCTTTTGAATAAGAAATAGTCATCAATTGTTCTGAATCGATGGTTGTCATGTTCCATGTTACTCCTGAAAATTTCTAAATAAAAGAATCAACTAAATACGTCATCTTACCCTGCCTTCTACATTTGTCATCGTCATCTGCATATATTTCATTACCATCGGTGAGCACCAAACAAGTCGGAACTTTTGACGTTCCATTAAAAAACATAAAATCTACCTGTAAAGATTAAGTTTCTTTAATAGTCATTGTATTTTTTTTACAAACATATACATACATTAACAATCCATCTTTGATCAATCTTAGCTTTGTAGTACACAAATTGATTTCTCACAATCGAAAAATATCCTGGTGCAAAACAATCCTGATTTTGCATAAGATTATTAGTACTGTTTATTGAATGCCAAGTAATCACATGTGGATCAGCCCAGACATAACATTCAGCTAGTTCGATTTGAGCTTCAGCTTAAATGAAAAAGTAGATTAGACAAATCAATATTGCTTTTTCATATGAAACGTACCAAACGAATATGAGATAATTAGGCATACAACTATAATTAATAAATAATCAAGACGATTCATTTTATTGACTGTGCGTAGAAAAGAATCAGTCAAATTTAGTTCATATTAACTGATTCAAATGTACGATAGGCAATGTCTAGGAACAGTGCATTTATAGTTTTAATTGTTTGCTTCAGATATGGTTCTTGTAAAGATAAGAAAAAAACCTGATCCAAACAAATGGTAACGAAAACGTTATCGTTGTAAAAGTAATCATTCATGTTTTTTCGTCTAATGCATTTTTTTCTCATAACACATTCTATAAATCAATTCTAAGCTGATTTATTCTTATCAATATTCATAGATTTGATGGCAAACAACATGTCGTTTTATGTCAATGGCTGTCATTCATATATTAGCCTTTCTTGTATGTGTTGTTTTCCACTGAAGTCATGACTTGTAAATTGAATTCAAGAGTAAAATAATTTTGCAAAAAACAATTTTCTTAATTAATCTTTATTATTTAGATTTATAATGCTATAGAATGATATTGATATTCGAAGAAAATTCATTCTAGTGGAAATCTTTCGGTGATAAATTAACCACAAAAAATAAAATCAAGTTATTTCTGTTGTATCTTTCAATGTCTCATAGTCCTAATGTTATTTAGAAAGTTCAACAATTCTTTCCATTTGAGATATACCATATATCGGAGGGGGTCGTGATTTTCCTCATCTCCTGATATTTTAAAAATCATTCTAGTCCATTCTAATTTTGGCGAATAATTCTGATTTTTTTGGATTTTCACTGCTCTTTTTTAAGAATGTCGAAAATTGAAAAAAAAAACAGGATTATTCACCAAAGCCAAGAATAATCAGAACAATTTTTAAAAAATCAGAAAAATCAGAATTGGCTACTATATGTTACATACTAATTCCAAATGATATTTTCTTCGAACAAAAGCTTTTTTCGAAAACGGTTGATGAAAAAAATCCTATGAGATGAATTAACACCTAGTTATAGTAAGGAAAAACACTTTGAAAACTATCAATGTTTCACATTTTTCAAGAGATGACCGTCGTTATTGATTTTATTTCCTCCATTGTGGTTTTGTTTTATCTGTTTGATGTAAAAGTATATACCAACAATCAATAGAATAAGAAGTAGGACACTACCTCCTATACTACAGCCGAGGATAATAGCCAAAGTAGTGTTGTTCGCTAATAAGACAAAAGAATATTCAATCTTTTATAATACATAAACTTAGGTCCCTTTGTTGTAGAGCTGAATGACGATGAAGTAATTGATATCTAACAAATGAAAAAGTTTATTTCCTTTTTTATTATATTTTCATATAAATTATGAAATCAATTTTTTCGATAAAAAAGAATTTCTTAAAACTATCAATATGTACTAGAAATACTCTTATAGATATTTTGGTTGTGTGTGTAAATTTAGTTTATTAATATTCAGCAGAATCGAATTTTATTTTGTTTTTCTTCGTACAAAGCTTTGTGAGCATCTTCTCACATTCTTCAATCATTTGAAGCACTATTTATTTCTAGTACTTGCGCATATTATATTTTAATTGAAAATCATCGTGAACACTCAAACAAAAACAGTAATAAACAGTACGCTTACAAACAAACCTGTGGAACTGTAATAGCTGTTATCGAAAGTGTCATAATTGATTCATATGTAGATTGGGTTGTTATTTCAGTCTAATTGACAAAATCGTATTAATAGATTGTTGGTTACAAATTCTCAATTCAGCTTATCATTATCACTAAAGAAGCTGCCTGCTACTACAGTAGTCTCAACATCTCTGCTAACATATGACCATCCTGTTGATTGATGAAATCAATGCTGCTTCAACATGAAAATTTCCCTCGAAAAGTATTTTTAAAAGCTCTACCTAGTGGACTTCAAAAAAATAGCATTGTTTTATGATTTTCCAGAGGCTATCTGGAGATCTCAGTGGAAATCAGGAATCTAGTCAGGGGCAGCCACAGTGATGCTTATGCACCTCCCTCCCTCCTCCAAGAAACACCGGGAGCAAGGTACGGGTAAAAAGCCTTTTTCGAGAAACAAAAAATTATTTTCCTGCTGGTATGCAGCTCCTCCCCTTTCCCTTCTTTGGCAAATCCTGGCCTCGACACTGGAGAAATTCTGCCAAGTTCCTCGGAATCTTGTAGGTTTATCATGTTCAAGATGGTTCGAAATCCATGTATTTAAGTACAAGAAACTGTAGATGGTCTATGTGAAGCGTCACAAAATCATGGCGAGAGTAAGGTATGCAGGGTATACGACATTAAAGTATTGTATCTCCTCATTTACCAGATCAACCAATAAATTGAAAAATCGTACACGTAACTATTTTCTTTTTTAAAGCTCATTAGATAGACCTCAAAACGTTGCATATTACAATAAATGTTTCGTTAAAGCAGCATTAATTTCACCAGTCAACACGATGGACACAAGTAAGCAGAGACATTGACAACCTTATTTGGCTTAAAATCATCAAATCGCTTTTTCATTTAATTTTAGCTGATGTTTCTACCTCGGATTCGAATAGACTTTCAAATTTTTCAGCATAAAAAATGATTATTTTTCATCATGATTCAGATATTATATCAGTCTAAAGATGGGTGGATCCAGTCAGAAATCTAAATAAATGGCCCATTGAGTCAGCTCTAGTAGACTGCGTGACTCGTCACGATCACGACTGATCAATTTTATATGAACAAAGCGTACATATCCACCTTGATTCCATAGATAAAGTGTTGAAAATCGAAGTTTCATAGACTAATGAAATTAAAATTAAAACGTTTTCATATGGTTTCAATCAATACGGATGCAGCTTTTATGTGGGAGATCGCCTTTTACACATAATTAAAATAGTTTTCAACATATAACAAGGACGGTTTTCATTTCTCCTGCCAAGTGCAAATCGAACATTCTACTTTTGACGAAAGTGTACAGTAGTGTGTATTTCGAGAGCAGAAGATGTTCGGCATATATTACTTCCGTTGTGTACACTTGAACATTAGAAAAGCTGCACGACACTTACGCGCAAAGACAGTTCCGCGCGCGACGTTACCGCGCACGAGGGTGTGGGTGTGTGGCAGTTCCAGCTCCTCTACTAGGAACTCAAGAGGTGTAACCAACAACTAGAAGCATTCTTAAGAACGCTGAAAATATGCCTATGAATGCTAGATCGATACTTGAGGTGCCTAAAAGCTGGTGACTGGATGTTGGAGGCAGGTCTGAGCATGCTAGAAGAATGTCTGGTAATGGCAAAGGCAAGTCTCAAAATGCTTGAAATAATCAATCCATAGACCTGATGTGCATCGTATTAGGTGTGCACATATGACTGAGATCAAATATCACACCTACATCCTGTCTTAGAGATACAAATTTGTTGTGAAGAAACAAGTATGACGACGGTATGTGTGGATAAGTAAAATTCCTTCACTCACTACAATAAAATATACATCAACACTCACATCTTCCATAGCGCAAAATCGAAAAACTATAATCATGATAGCACAAGCAACATATGATTATGCCTACCAGAAAGTGGTAAAAGAAAATGCACAACGAGAGTGTGCGGAATAAGCGATATTTGTAATAACAGACAAGGACATTTGTATTTGACAATCAATTTTCACAACAGCATGATCACAAAATTTACTATATCTCATTATTTTGAATCTAAACATGTTCTTCTATCAATCAATGTAAGTTCTACAACGTTCAACTGACGATCGACTCAAGCATGTGTTGCTGAATTCCAATGAATTTGTCAAAGTAATCTTGAATAACAACGCTTTGCATGAAGCTTTGATTTACAAAATTCAAGAACCAGGCCAACAACTGTAACATTGTCTGGTTTTTAGTCAGGTCGAATATCACATGGACGGATTCTGTCACACTAAAATTTCAAACGTTGGATGTGGGGGATATGGGTGAGTTCGGGCTAGTATGTGCATTTTTCTTCCCTTTGCATATATCAATATACAAATCCACATTCATACCCACCCTAGAAACATCCACACTATGTTTTTTATTTCATTTTGTTTATTGAAAAAATGGCACATTTCACACATGGATAATCACTCATATTGTCGAATAATTTGATAAAAACAGGAACTCTTATTATTGAATTTTATCAATCTTATGTAAACTATTAACCATTTTCTTATTACAAAAATATCTTGGTTTAAAATATTAGATGTAGAAGATCAGAGTAGACAATAAACATAAGAAAACAACGCTTTCTCGTGCACTACAACCAATCATCATAGCTATATTATTGCTGCTCACTAAAAAAAATAATAATACATGTGATTCTCAATAATGTGTAGACTCACGTTCTGTCGTTGTAGTGTCAAATGTTGAGAAAACTGTACTTGGCACCTAGTAAATGACATTATACGTGTATTTCTTAGACTTTTAGAAAAAAGTTCAAGTCAATCTTTGAAAGAAAATCTTGATTATTCTAAAGAATTAATTTCTTCATAAAACAAGTACGGAGTGACAGTTGATAATTGATGATTACATCGATTACCCATGAGAAACTGTGTATATAAAATCCCACTTTTTACGATCATTAGCTATTTCTATTTAACAAGCTTATAATCAATCAGTTTAGTTTCCATATGATTTCATAGTATTTTTCGAAATCTACAGGAGTGTATATTTTTCAAATAAAAAAAGAAGACGCTGACGACATAAAGAAATTCCAACGACACTATCCTCGAGTAATTTTTTTCTGACTTTTTTAGGTTTATTTTCTAGATTTCGATAAGAATAATTTTGACTTGCATGCAAAACTAATATGGTAATCTGATTCAGTATGAGAAACTCAATGTATTTGAATGTATTTCAGAATTTTCACAATGCTTTTTCTCGTAGAAACATTTAATCTTGGATTCCTTCTGGTTGAGCCTAAAAATGAATTTCATCGAAATGATTTTTTTATTGTTGATCTATTTGTCCTTTCAAGCTCTAATATCTTTTTATAATTTAAGAACTTAATTATCATTGTCGAAATAGCTTTTCGATGAAATTTTGTTTTCACTCAATCCTGAGAAGAATCATAATCAATCTTTTGATGAAAGGGTGTGGGTGTGTGTGTGGGTGGGTTTGAGTGTGGGTACTGGTGAAGATACTTCTCACAACCGCCACCCACATCCACACGCACACCCACGCCGCCACCCACCTCCACACCACATTCATCTAAACTGAAGTTTTTACTGTAAATACAACTCATTGAACCCTACAAGGTAGGATAACCTTCGATCAACTTAAAAGACTCAGGTGTTTCTGTGAGAGATATTCTATGGAATAGGCCATTTGATGAAAAAAAACAAATAATAATAATAATTATTCATTTTCGTCTTCTTCATCGTTGGCATGTATGGCACTTGTTACATTGCACATTTCTCGATCATCTGCATTAAGTGCACGTTCATTTTTACTTAATTTAGCTGCAAGCCGTTTTGAAATTGAACAGCAATAGTCAAACAAATTGTCAGCTAGTAAACCTTCCGCTTCAACTATATTGGCTGCACTTGCATTTGTACAGAAATGATTAAAACATTTATGACGAAAAGTACATATAAGTGGATCTTCATCTTCACCTACACAAAAAAAGATATGTCGAGCATAAAATTAATAAGATTTTAAAGTTGATTATTTAAAGTTGTGTAAAAAAACTGAAAATTAACTACCATATCCTGAATATTTGGAAGAGTCCAAGTTTTGTTGTATCAACAAGAATTACTTCATCATAAAGAATTGAACAAGTGAAAAGATATACAGAATTTTACAAACCGAACTTTTGCTATCGACGAATGTCTATCCTCTCACCGACGAAAAAGTTCTCTTTTCAATTGTTTCTTTTTCCCTTCCTTTTCTATTATTCTATGTACCTTTGTATATCATTGCATAGGTAATAGAAGTCAACTATACATATATGTACATAATTTAGTTATTGGCCTTTTATTTTGTTTTTTATTTATTTATTTGAAAATAATCCATTTTGATCATATTGAGAAAACAAAAATAATAATGCATAGAAAAATATTTCATTTAACCGTCTTCTATTTTAGAACGAAGATATGTTTAAGCATGTCTTTTTTGAAAACCAAATATATATTTTCTGTAGCCAATAACTTTCACAAATGATCATTCAGTCGGTTACCAATAATCGATGAAAGCGTAGCTCTGAATCGAAGAATGGAGCAACCTGACCAAGGGGGAAAAAGCGAAAATGTCGTACTCCCACGTACTCCCAGGATAAGCTGTAACGATCTTTGAGATTTTTCTAATCACTTAAAGTCTACTATCGATCTGTGTAACGATGCACTAGCTGGAGTACAGTGAATATGAGGCTGGCGGATACTTTGCCCGCAAATACATGTTTGTACTCCCAAAAGGGGAGTACGACGAAGTATTTGAGCCTGATTGTCCACCAGTCTCACATTCACTGTACTCCAGCTAGTGCATCGTAACACAGATCGACAGTAGACTTTAAGTGATTAGAAAAATCTCAAAGATCGTTACAACTTATCCTGGGAGTACGTGGGAGTACATGGGAGTACGACATTTTCGCTTTTTCCCCCTTGAACCTGACTCAAAGTTCTTCTTGTTCGACTCTTCGAACTCTGCATGCATACAGTACTAACAACCTTCTTATGACATACAATAATATTGCCTGCGACGAGTATATGACTGATGCTATATGTTTGGATAGCTTGAGTAATCGAGTCAGGAAAACGTTGAGTCAGGTTATAGTCCAGGTTTAGAGCTGCGTTTTTATAGATTATTGGTTACAGACTGGGTGATCATTTATGAAGGCTATTTGGCTACAGAGAACATATATTTGGTTTTCAAAAAAGACATGCTTAAACATATCTTCGCTCTAAAACTGAAAACGGTTAAATGAGATTTTTTTTCTGTGCATTATTATTTTTGTTTTCTCAATATCATCAAAATGGATCATTTTCAAATAAATCAAAATAAAAGACAAGCAAGTATGTTATGTATATATATATATGTATACTTGACTCTATTACCTATGCAATAATATACAGATGTATATAGAATAATACAAAAGGAAGAGAAAAAGAAACGATTGAAACAGGAACTTTTTTATCCATAATCGAATGGACTTTTCCCATTACATCCTTTGCATTTTCGCCAATTCGAGTATCACTTTGGGATTGATTAGAGAGATTTCTATCAGACACATTCATACTGTTCTGCAACAATTAGTGAAAGTCTACTAGACTTTGACCAATATTGGTGAAAGGGTGTGGGTATGGGTGTGGGTGTGGGTGCGTGTGGGTGCGTGTGGGTGCGTGTGGGTGTGGGTGTGGGTGTGGGTGCGTGTGGGTATGGGTGTGGGTATGGGTGTGGGTGTGGGTGCGTGTGGGTGTGGGTGCGTGTGAGTGTGGGTGTGGGTGCGTGTGGGTGTGGGTGTGGGTATGGGTGTGGGTGTGGGTGCGTGTGGGTGTGGGTGCGGGTGAGTGTGGGTGTGGGTGTGTCTGTTCTGTGTGCACAAGCACACCGATACCTA